TACATATATTAGACATTACAGGTTCCTGATGCACATCATTTATTTTTCAGATCGGATTCAAAATGGCTGTCTGGCGGCCATTTTGTTTTAATGAATGGGCTTCTAGACCCATATCTTTGACTTGTTTTGACTGATAATATTTTCAAATTTTAAATATTCATTATACATCATGTCATAGATAAACAGATATATTGGTTTGACTACCCTATTCAAAATGGTCGAATGGTGGTCATTTTTGTGCTAAAAAATCATAAAATATCAAGCATTTATGGGTGGATTTCGTTCAAACTTGGTACATACATTAGACATTACGGGTTCCTGATGCTCGTCATTTTATTTTTCAGATTGGATTCAAAATGGCTGACTGGCGGCCATTTTGTTTTAATGATTGGGCTTCTAGAGCCATATCTCTTAAATGCTTTGACTGATTATATTCAAACATTATATTCGTTATACATCATGTTATATATATACATGTATTCAAAATGGCTGATTTTGAATGCTGTTCCAGAGCAATTTCTCTCAATATGGACAAGTACTTGTTTGACGATCAGATACAAATGTCAATCAATTTAATGTTAAAAAAATCATATTCCTGACATGGTTATATTTTCCAGCTATATTACTGTAAACAAAACTATATATCTTAAATTTGATAACTAACGGGGACTGTGCCCATGCATGGCTTGTTAAATTTAGTTTTGTGCATAGTTCAATTCGGAACTGTTGGTATAGGTTCTTTCTTTTAGAAGGAGTTGTTTTATTATTATTTTTTTTTAATTAATATTCTGATTTTTGTAGATTAGTTTATTTTTATTACTTCCTTATTAGTGTATTAATACTGTTTACTTTTACTAATAATAATAGTTCATTATGCAACTGTTATCTGCTGTGGATACAGTAAGATAAAAATAGTGTAACTAAATCAAAGTAAAGGTTCTCCCTACACAGGGGGTTACACAGGCGGTGCTTTGTATATGGTATTTTTAAGATATAGAGACAGAGCAATGTTATTGTTCATAAGCTCAAAAGAAAAAGTTTTTCATCTTCAATATCGCCATGATCACATTGCCTTGTTACCATTGCCACTCTCTGGGGGGGGGGGGGGGTGAGTAAGTGTTAATAAATTAATTAATTGAACAAAGGATTGATTGTATAGGTGATCTAAACAAAGATGCTAATCAGTCCTGAAAAATAATATGCTAATTAGTTTGCAAGTTTTGTACTACCGGTACATGTAACTTAGTATGCACATTAGTAGCCTTACGTACAGTGCTGTGTGTATGGCGTATGACGTGCTCGGCTGGTCGTGCACCAATTGTCACGTTGATATTCTATTAGCATTTTTGATGAAAAAGTATCGGTTTACTGATTATTAAGACATTCATTCAAACCTTTGGCATTTTTCAAAACTATATGATCCATTGCTAACGACAACTTGCGTGAACAGTGAAAAAAAAGATTTAATGCATTTAATATTATTTTATTATTTCTACAAAAGCAATGATTTGCACACAATAAACCATGGCTGAGGGGGAGCACATCAAAGGAACAGATGAACAAAGTTACACCATATACACATTCAAGTACATTTCATATATATTTCTTCTCATTTGATAGAGAACTCAACGATATTATGACACTAGTAAAGACAAAACTCCAACATTAGACAAAGACGAAGAATTAAAAGATGGAAGTCATCGGAATAAAAAACACAAGTTTGAACGAGGAAGTGCTGATCCATTTAAAGGTCCTGCACCTGTACCAAAGGAAAAAGTTACTAAATATGTAAGAGGCAAAAAGATTGATTTACAATCGGTGAGTTTTTCATTTGTTAACATTATTCTCAACATTTTCACGGGACTGAAGATAAGTGCGTAATTTTACTATGCAATCCATAGCTTCCGACGATGAAGGCAGTTCGATGTCAACAGGGATGTCTGGGCCGACATTTTCGATGTCTTCTTCGCTATGATTGCATGATGAGCTAAATTGTCCCATAAACATTCAACATCACTGGTGTTATCGGCCGTAATGTCTCCACAATCGGCAAGGCTGACTTCCTGTTCCATGTAAGGATTTGGCAAATGTACAAAAGACGCCTTTCTGAAGCAGTTGGCAATGGTGGTATCGGTAACTTTGTGCCAGGATGAATGAAGCATGTCGATCACATCTTTGACATTGATCGTGGCTGGGGTTTCACCTGAATCAAGATTCACCAATATTCTCTGAACAACTCGTTGGCGGTAAAAACACTTGAAATTTCTAATCACGCCCTGGTCCATCGGTTGCAGCTTCGAAGTTGTATTAGGCGAGAGAAAGACAAGTTTGATGGCTTTGAGGTTTTTGACAGCTGGATGGGCGGGACAGTTGTCGATGAACATGAGAATTTTTCTTTTCTGGCGTTCGTACTTCTTGTCCAGTTTGTGTGGCCATTCGATGAACAAATCGCTAACCATCCACGCTTTTTTGCTTGCCTTGTAATCGACAGGTAGGGATTTCACCTAGGGTTTTTTGATTTTCCGATGACCAGAAGCTTGAGTTTTTCAGATCCACCCATGTTTGCGCAAAGCATCACAGTCAATCTTTCTTTACTTGTCTTTCCTCCAAAGCATACGTCATTCTTGAATGATAATGTGTTATTGGGCATCAGGTGGAAAAATAACCCAGTTTCGTCGGCATTAGAAATATCTCTGGGAGCGTAGCCGCCATTGATGAGTTTGGGTAATAGTAAACCATTTCAGCAATGGCTGCTCAACATCGTCGACTGCTGAAAACCGCATTTGCTTCCGGCTTGGCTCAATTTTGTTGTGTTCGAACATCTTCAAAACATCATTTTTTTTTCTTTAAAATCGTTGACAGTGTACAGGGTTTAACGTCAAATTTTCGACAGACATCGGCATGACGAATGCCAGACTCAATTGCTTTGATCATTTGGACTTTACAGTCCAACGACAAGGCACGCGGTTTGACACGAGTTGTTGACATTTTGAAGTCAGGACGGAAACTGGCATCTCACTCGTAGTTGCCGTAATTTATGTAAAATTTAAAGTTCATGCTACACTCCTTTCTTTAGTGAATCTTAAAATTAAAAACTCGAGCAGCAAGGCGTCAGAAGTGACTAGACACTGGAAGTCACATACACAAAAGATTTTCACACCCAAGTGAATAGTGTTGGTTTAATTAGAGGGGTGATCATGGTGGTTGAAATAAAGCTAATATATACTTGTCCTGGATGGAACATCGCTTCTCTGAACACTAGTGAAATAAACTGTAAAATAAAATTTAACTGTCAACACATTCTCTCATTGTTGATCAGAATATAATTTTATTTATTTATTTACACACCATTTGAAAGATAAACAGTTAAAATAAAATCACTTACACATTTGTTAAACCATATTTACTTGCAGGAATCCATCCCTCACGTCAAACACAGACACTCTATGAAGCGACTAGAAGACAAATATGCAGAGGCTGTTAAATCTGCTGCTCGTTCAGAATTGTTGTTAACAGAAGAAGCTGGGTAAGCTTTTAATTTCTATAGGCTTAATGATGGATGTGGCTTTTACACTTGTGACATATATTTTCTAAAATTGTTGGTGATTACATGATCCTCACAGTTGTATGTTTTTTGTACAATTTTCTATACAAAAAGTAAGCCAGAGAATAGACTCACATACTGTGTAATCACATGTGTTGTCATTACTTTTTCACGTGAGACAAATTTGAAACCAGTACATTCACATTTATATTCGAAGATGGATGATTTTATTTCCCCTATAGATATTATTTTTACACTGATCTAATAGAAGTGCACATAAACCAAAAACATACATACATATATTGTATACTGGATCATTAAATTATGACATGTTTCAATCACAGACACACCTCTGTCATTATGTGTAAGTACATGTACTACTAATAGAGTAAATACAGTACTGTTGAATTCTTTTAGCTGGAGTTACCGGTAATTTTCACTGAGAAAACGTATTGTATGTTTTGTATCAAGTATATTTTCACTGATTTTTCAGTTGAATCTCAAATAAAGAAAGAAAAAAGTGTATTTACTGGATTTTTTCACTGGATTTATTTCTTCAGTGAAAATAAATTACTTTACTAGTATTACCGTACATTAAGTGTAAGTATGTATGTGCTAGTCATAGACCAAATACAGTATTATTATTATTAGTTTAACCATATGCATACTTTACATGAGCACATGTACCGGTACTATGAATAGATTAAATTGCTCTGTCATTAATTCATAAGATATATCTTTCCTTGGTTTTTATTTTATTTTTATTAAGTTTTCTGGAAGCTGATGAAGATGAAGAAACCCATCAAATATCACAAAAAGAAATAAGACAAGCAGTGGATATTTCTAGTGCAACAAAGGTTAGACGACTTACATGCAGATTACCATATAATTTGCATTCTAATTAGCATACAATTTAGCATACATTTGCATACTATTTAGCATATATTTACATACTATTTTGCATATCTTGTGTATAATAGTCGGCATACATTTGCATACTATTTAGCATATATTTACATATTGTTTTGCATATCTTGTGTATAATATTCAGCATACATTTGCATACTATTTAGCATATATTTGCATACTGTTTTGCATATCTTGTGTATAATATTCAGCATACATTTGCATACTATTTAGCATATAATTTGCATACTGTTTTGCATATCTTGTGTATAATATTCAGCATACATTTGCATACTGTTTTGCATATCTTGTGTATAATATTCAGCATATATTTGCATACTATTTAGCATATCTTGTGTATAATATTCAGCATACATTTGCATACTATTTAGCATATATTTGCATACTGTTTTGCATATCTTGTGTATAATAGTCAGCATACATTTGCATACTATTTAGCATATCTTGTGTATAATAGTCGGCATACCTTTGCATACTATTTAGCATAATTTTGCATACTGTTTTGCATATCTTGTGTATAATAGTCAGCATACGTTTGCATACTATTTAGCATATATTTGCATACTATTTTGCATATCTTGTGTATAATAGTCAGCATACGTTTGCATACTATTTAGCATATAATTTGCATACTGTTTTGCATATCTTGTGTATAATAGTCAGCATACGTTTGCATACTATTTAGCATATATTTGCATACTATTTTGCATATCTTGTGTATAATAGTCAGCATACGTTTGCATACTATTTAGCATATAATTTGCATACTGTTTTGCATATCTTGTGTATAATAGTCAGCATACGTTTGCATACTATTTAGCATATAATTTGCATACTGTTTTGCATATCTTGTGTATAATAGTCAGCATACATTTGCATACTATTTAGCATATAGTTTGCATACTATTTACCATTTCATTTGCATAATAGTTACCTTATCATTAAAATTTAGCTATTGTATATAATCCTACCACAGTGTTTCTAATTAATTGGCTTGATAATTTTCTGTTGATGTTTTTCAGAATTTTGATCTCACTTTGAATCAGTTTGGGCCGTATAAACTTGACTACACAAGGAATGGGAGACATCTATTACTAGGTGGCAGAAAAGGACACCTGGCTGCCATGGATTGGGTAACGAAACGTCCAAGTTTTGAAATTAATGTCATGGAAACTATACAAGAAGTACAGTAAGTTTAAAACAAGTAGAAATTAATTGTTGGTATTTTGATGTAACAAATACTGGATTAGCAATTGGTGGAAACTGATATTATACAATAAAATTCATTGGTGCTTCAATGATATCATTGTTCCAATTGTTGGTACTTTACACTGCACACAAGTTGGTCTAAATGTTGTCACCTTTCAGTCAAACTTAGACTTGTCTTTACCAAAATAGATTATGTGCGAATAAAATCCTGCAATATATCTCATCACAGAATAAACTCCCCTGCAAGACATTCCAAAGGTCATTGATAATCTTCAGAATATTTAATGATATTACATATTAATTCATCACATTATCCATAAACAATGCTTTTAAATTTTCAGTCATAGTCTAAATCTTGTAATTTTCTCATTTTAGATGGTTACACATAGAGACAATGCTGGCAGTTGCACAGAAGAAATGGTTATATATTTACGATAATCAGGGCACTGAACTACACTGTGTTAACAAATTTAACGATGTTCTCAAAATGCAGTTTCTACCCTATCACTTTCTACTTGCCACTGCGGTAAGATTTTTATTTCACTAGTTCTTACTAAAAAATGTTGATCAGAAATTCAATATTCTCTCCAACATAACAATAGAATTATGTTAATCAGCTGTATTGTCTTCATTGTTATGGTAATCATGCTGTATTTTTCATCAGCAATTATAAAATAGTAGTCCAAAATCAAAAATGAATTTATTTTTGTGTATAAAACAGTAATGTGGTTGTGAATGTTTTGGTTTACAATTTAATTTTGGATCAGCTGCAAAATCCTGTTCCTGTCAGATAAAATCCAAAACTGGGACTTGTGTTGAGTTCCACTCATAAGTGTGTGTCTCATTTCTCAGACACTGGACTGAATGTTAGTTAGTATAAAGACTGACATGATGGTATACATGTGCATGCCAATTTGTTTTTAACTATGCCTGTAATACATTGTCATGTTTGTGTATTCCATCTGCATATTCCTTCCTACTTTGTTTGTTGATTCATTGACATTTGTCTCATTGGCAACCATTTTTGTCATCATCACTCATAGTACATAAATCAGTAGTACAGGCTCTTATGTTAAATGACGGGCATTTCTGTGATCAAACTAAGCAATTCACTGATGTGTTTTTTTAAATTATGCTTGATTGTCTTAACTCAGGCCACAGAAAAAAAGTTTCTTCTTTTCTTGATGACATGATGATATAGTTTTAAATTTGAATATGTTTTATTTTTTACGTTTCTATTATGATTATTTAATACAACAATGTATATTTTTATTCATTCAACGTTTATTAAATAATGCTTTTGTTTACATGCATTAATGTGGATTCTATTCAATTGATAAAACAGTCTCTGAAACAAAAAACAAACATTTTTACCATATATGGAACCCTTTACCAGTAGACAAAATTACAAACATAACTTTTAACTTGCGCTTCTATGCTTCGAAATAAGAAAACATGACACACTGTAATTTTTACACTGATTTAGTTTCTGAACAGTTCATAATTCGTTCAAGATGTCACAAATCTGACAAAGTAATGTAGTCACAATGATTTATTATTTTTTGCAGAGTGCTACTGGTTTTCTGAAGTATCTAGATGTTTCTATTGGCCGAGAAGTAGCGTCAATTCGAACCAAACTTGGAAGACTATACTGTATGAAACAGAATCCTCATAATGCAATCATACATCTAGGACATACAAACGGTATTACAACATTTTAATTTTAGTTTTACAATTGACAATGAAAGTCACTTAATTGTATTTTGTTTGCCAAAAAGATCAGATTTAGTTGGGGTACTTCTGATTTCTACCACCATTGTTACCATTACTGTTTTTTATGGTTAATCCAGGTTGTGTATAAAACAGTCCCCAAACTAATTTCAGAAATACATTTTATCTTTGTAAATAGTCATTAATCATAGTCATTAACATATTAAAGCATGGCAGTACATACATTAACCTTATTCTGCCAACCTCATGTACTTTCACATTAACTTGACCAGATAAGAGTTAATTCCATGGGGGGGGAGGGCGTCTCTTGCCAAATGTTGCCACCACCCCTTCTATTTTTTTTTCTTGACAAATTACGGTAATGCACATATGTGCATGTACAATGAGAATTAAATGGATATTATCAACCAAAATAAATATATTAAACATTTTTTTTAAACATTCATGGAAGTTCAACAATTCAAGGAATGATTTGTACATTGTTTATTTATTTTTGTTCTGTATGCAATATTTAGGTACAGTCACATTATGGAGTCCTAACTTGAAAGGACCAATAGTTAAAATGTTATGTCACAAATCAGCTGTGAGGTCAATTGCCATCGACAAAAGTGGACTGTAAGTACATCCCAGCATTGTTTTCATATAAATGTTATTATTATACACCTATCACCGGAATGCCATAAGTTACAGCGTGCCGTAATTTTGAGGTATCTTACAGGGTATTTTCATCTTACTATATAAGGAAATGCAACACGCGTAAGCATCCTATAATAATAAAAACAAACATGGCTGCCATCAGGGTTTGACCCGAACTCCACACAAAGAAATTTTCTGATTCTGTTCTAAACTTTTTGGATTTCGGCATTCCCATGATGTATCCTTGGAAGAAAAAGATGTATAATAATAAGGTTATTACGAGAATACCTCAAAGTATGCACTCAGACAGTATGTCGTGCATCAACCTAAGCTGCGTGTCAGTCGATACTCCAGCTGTACTGTCTTCGTGCATACTTTGATGTATCCTCGTAATAACCTCATATTATTACAGATGTGTGCTGCTGTTGTTTGCACCATCCAGGTTTTTCTAGAAAAAATAACCATGTGTATTCTTTTTCAGTTACATGGCAACATCAGGGCAGGATAGACAACTAAAAATTTTTGATATCCGAACATTCAAACCGCTACAGGTTTATCGAATTGCCTCGGGAGCCACAGAGTTATCATTTAGTCAGCGAGGACTCCTTGCATCTGCTTGTGGTAACATTGTTGATGTGTATAAAGATTGCTGTACACAGTCACAAGACAAACCCTATATGATGCATAAAATGAAATATAATATTACAGATTTACAGTTTTGTCCCTATGAGGACGTGCTTGGTGTGACGCATACTAATGGATTTGAGAGTTTACTCATACCAGGTATGTGTTGTAAAAATAACTTTTCAAACTTTTCTCATCTACTGCCCTCAATGTATACTTTTCTCTCGCAACTATAAAAAACTTTCTTTGTATCAAATTTGTCAGTTTATATACTAGGCTAATCACTGATAACATAGTGGTTGTTGCGTCTGACTGATGATCAGTAAAACCCAAGTTCTAATTTTACCTGGGGTTGAACACTGAAAAAGTTGATTGGTTTCCACCCTGGGTAAGTGGGTCACAGATTCAGTAGGGAAGAATGTGCAGCATATATTTTAGCCTAATATTTCAAATGATTCATAATTTCTGTGACTAATTGACAGTACTAAGCAAAGCACAATGAGGGTACTTTTTGTTTGTTCTCTTCAAACATCCACTGACTGAATCAGGGATCACTATTTTGAGTCCAATCAACATTATTTCTGAGAAATGCATCAACTGATTTTGTTTGAAAAATCGTAATGATGCACATTTTCTTATTTTGTTTTTTGACCTTTTGACCCTTAATCAATTTTAGTTCCCAAAAAATATGCCCTACTCCTTTCTTGCATCCACTGATACAAAGGCAAACCATAAGGATGTGAATAATCTCTTCAGTTAATTGGTGACCATTGAATCTTAATTCAGCCAATTAAAGACAGGGACAATGATTTGTTCTCACGAGATTGTTTTATTTTAATGTTGTTTGTTCAAAAAGTTGGAACTTGTTGATCATTATTTGAGACCAAAGCAAGCTGATGTTGAAGCAGAATTATCGGTACTTGGGGAAGATGACAATGATTTTGAAAATAATATGAACTTTCCGGTTAATTTTACAACAGGGGCTGGTGAAGCTAACTTTGATGCATTAGAACAAAATCCATACCAATCTAAGAAAGCCCGACGAGAATGGGAAGTCAAAGCACTCTTAGAGAAGGTATGTCAGAAGTTATCGATTAATTATTTATTATCATCAAGGAATTATATGCAATTTCTTTCACTGACTCACTATTTTGTGACTTCTTCTAGTCATGAAAGATCACAAACTTGTATACTCTAATCGTGGAAATGTTTAGGCATTACCTGACTCATTAGTATCACCTGCTGACATGCATTGTACATTTTGCAAGGCTCAGTCTTTTCCACGAAACAAAACCCTAACCCTAACCTTAAATTTTGAACGACTTCAAACATCGCCAGGTCACAGAAATAAATTTGTCGAGAATATTTAGTTTCCACCTCTTTTCCGCCTACTTTGCAGCTTGATTCATTTGTGCTGACATGACATGACAGCCATTTTGGAATTATTGAACATTGATGGCACTATTCATTTCGTGTTTAACAGTGTGAAATTTTCTCAGATATTATTAGTCCAATGAAAAAAAATGCTAGTTAGGGTTAGGGTCTCGCTTCGTTTTGTTTCGTAGAAAAGACTAAGCCATTTTGCAATAATATTTTTACAAAGTCACGTACTATATAACCATTTATTTTTACCTCACATTTACCCCGGTACTTTCACTATTTTGATCTTTTAGGCATATTCACTTAGTTTTAACTGATCTTTATTATTATTTTACTGATTTATGTCAATCATGCAAAATTTACTTATCAGCAAAAATATTAAAGTTAAAACCGAGTGAATAATTAATGCATTAATACATGTAGGACTTGTACATCTACATAATTGTCAATTTTTTCTTTCAGATCCAACCAGAAATGATTACCATGGATACGCATAAAATAGCTGAAGTTGACATGGTGACCATGGAGCAAAAGTTGGCAGAAAGGAAAGAAATCCTGGTATGTTTCTGTATCAAATTCATTCAATCTTTACATTTTAGATTAAATTATGAGACAGTTTTGTAATCTGCATAAAAATCTGCATAAAAACTAATAACTTCAAAACAGGTTTTGCATTGCCACATTGTTGAGATGTGATCACGTACTGCCTTGCGTGCATATTTTATGGTATTTTGTGATGACATTATTATTACGCAATTTTCTCCTTTTGTTATCATAATTTAATGACAGCCGAAGTAAAATTTCAGCTTATATTTGCATTCGGTGACTGGATTCTTTTCAGATAATGCACTATAGTATGCTTAAAAACAAATACAGAATATTAAATTTTATAGTTTTCTGTTAAAATATTGTTTTTATTTTGATCATTAACACACCTTTGTCATTTATGTATGTGTATAATGTTATTAAAAGAGCAAAATTATGGTATGGTAACATTTTTCTATTGTGTATATTATTTTGAAAAATCTGGATTAAAATATGTAAGTTAATTTTGTGAAAAATGGCATGAGTTGATTTTGTCATTCAACAGGCTATTAATGTGACTGAATGGTATTATATTTGTCATAAATGTGTGACTAAAATGATCAAAATGAATTTCCTAGTTTCCTAAATTGCAGGAAGGAAGTCTCCCCATCACAGTTGATATAACGATTTCTGTCTTCAAATTGAACCATCACGGTTGTCATGACAATTTGAATCTGCTGGACCTATTATATTCGTATTCAATAATTAAGTATGTTTTTCACTTTGTAGGGTTATATTCCAGCTGCTAAGTTTCAGCCAAAGCATAAAATGAAGGGGAAAAGTTCTTCTACAAAAACAGAACAACGAAAGAAAGGTGTTATCGAGGAGAACAAACGAGTAAGTATGATATGGTAGTGATTTGTATCACTCATAGTGACTGGTGTTTAATGCCAGTGTCTCGTGTCAACCAAATATGGTTTCAATACTGATTGGTGTCCACCAATACTGACCAATGTTCACTGATTCTGATTGGTGTTGGTATTACTGATCATTGCCACCAATATTGGCCGATGTCCAACGATACTGACCGGTGTCCACTGATACCGCCCTGTGTCCACTGATACAGACGGCTGTCCATAGATACTGACTGCTGTCCACTTATAGTAAATAGTATCCACTGATAGTATCCTAAGGATGAACCATGACCAGTGTCCATAGGACAAACAATGTATGGTATTCATAGGGTCAACAGCAACAAGTGACCAGCACAATATTCATCTAAAGGACTGACCATAATATGAAAGACCAAAGTACAGATTTACAGATTAAATTTTAAGATATACGTCGACAACACAATCCCATGAAAGTTTAACAAAATTCAGTAGTAGGTAATACAAGTGACAAACTATGCTGGACTGCACAATTTCCCAGATACTCCTTTTGAATATATATGTATTGAACTTTGGAATTGGTGGCATGGATTTGGTAACTTGTTGTGATAAACTTTTTTTCTTCCTTTTCTTCACAGGATGCACTTCGTAAAGAATCCGAGAAAGTGCAAGACTCCCAGAAAAAGGTCAAAGCGCAAGAAAAAGAAGAGATTAAACTTGGAAAAAGAAGTGCCCTTGACAGATTTCAAACAAAAAGCAGTTAATATTTATCATATCTGTATTGTCTATAATAAAACTGAAAAATAAGTGTAAAATAATTTTTGTGTGAATGTTCGTTACATGATTTTAATGTCGTATATGAGAGACTGCCCTACCTCAAACCATGACAACCCTGGATGACCCTTGACAGCCTGGACACTTAACCCTGAGTTGCTCAATCCAATACCATCTCATCCCAAGATGACCCTGGAAACTTCAGTTAAACCAGAGTTGCTCAATCCAATACCATCTCATCCCAAGATGACCCTGGACATTACAGTTAACCCTGAGTTGATCAATCCAATACCATCTCATCCCAAGATGACCCTGTACATGTCTGTTAACCCTGAGTTGGTCAATTCAATACCATCTCATCCCAAGATGACCCTGTACATGTCTGTTAACCCTGAGTTGATCAATCCAATACCATCTCATCCCAAGATGACCCTGTACATGTCTGTTAACCCTGAGTTGGTCAATTCAATACCATCTCATCCCAAGATGACCCTGTACATGTCTGTTAACCCTGAGTTGATCAATCCAATACCATCTCATCCCAAGATGACCCTGTACATGTCTGTTAACCCTGAGTTGATCAATCCAATACCATCTCATCCCAAGATGACCCTGTACATGTCTGTTAACCCTGAGTTGGTCAATTCAATACCATCTCATCCCAAGATGACCCTGTACATGTCTGTTAACCCTGAGTTGGTCAATCCAATACCATCTCATCCCAAGATGACCCTGTACATTACAGTTAACCCTGAGTTGCTCAATCCAATACCATCTCATCCCAAGATGACCCTGTACATTACAGTTAACCCTGAGTTGCTCAATCCAATACCATCTCATTCCAAGATGACCCTGTACATTACTGTTAACCCTGAGTTGCTCAATCCAATACCATCTCATCCCAAGATGACCCTGTACATTACAGTTAACCCTGAGTTGCTCAATCCAATACCATCTCATCCCAAGATGACCCTGTACAATACTGTTAACCCTGAGTTGCTCAATCCAATACCATCTCATCCCAAGATGACCCTGTACATTACTGTTAACCCTGAGTTGCTCAATCCAATACCATCTCATCCCAAGATGACCCTGTACATTACAGTTAACCCTGAGTTGCTCAATCCAATACCATCTCATCCCAAGATGACCCTGTACATTACAGTTAACCCTGAGTTGCTCAATCCAATACCATCTCATCCCAAGATGACCCTGTACATTACAGTTAACCCTGAGTTGATCAATCCAATACCATCTCATCCCAAGATGACCCTGTACATGTCTGTTAACCCTGAGTTGGTCAATTCAATACCATCTCATCCCAAGATGACCCTGTACATGTCTGTTAACCCTGAGTTGGTCAATGCAATACCATCTCATCCCAAGATGACCCTGTCCATTACAGTTAACCGTGAGTTGATCAATTCAATACCATCTCATCCCAAGATGACCCTGTACATTACAGTTAACCCTGAGTTGCTCAATCCAATACCATCTCATCCCAAGATGACCCTGTACATTACAGTTAACCCTGAGTTGCTCAATCCAATACCATCTCATCCCAAGATGACCCTGGAAACTACAGTTAACCCTGAGTTGCTCAATCCAATACCATCTCATCCCAAGATGACCCTGTACCTGTCTGTTAACCCTGAGTTGGTCAATTCAATACCATCTCATCCCAAGATGACCCTGTACATGTCTGTTAACCCTGAGTTGATCAATCCAATACCATCTCATCCCAAGATGACCCTGTACATGTCTGTTAACCCTGAGTTGATCAATCCAATACCATCTCATCCCAAGATGACCCTGTACATGTCTGTTAACCCTGAGTTGGTCAATTCAATACCATCTCATCCCAAGATGACCCTGTACATGTCTGTTAACCCTGAATTGGTCAATTCAATACCATCTCATCCCAAGATGACCCTGTACATGTCTGTTAACCCTGAGTTGCTCAATGCAATACCATCTCATCCCAAGATGACCCTGTCCATTACAGTTAACCGTGAGTTGGTCAATTCAATACCATCTCATCCCAAGATGACCCTGTACATTACAGTTAACCCTGAGTTGGTCAATTCAATACCATCTCATCCCAAGATGACCCTGTACATGTCTGTTAACCCTGAGTTGATCAATCCAATACCATCTCATCCCAAGATGACCCTGTACATGTCTGTTAACCCTGAGTTGATCAATCCAATACCATCTCATCCCAAGATGACCCTGTACATGTCTGTTAACCCTGAGTTGGTCAATTCAATACCATCTCATCCCAAGATGACCCTGTACATGTCTGTTAACCCTGAGTTGGTCAATTCAATGCCATCTCATCCCAAGATGACCCTGTACATGTCTGTTAACCCTGAGTTGCTCAATGCAATACCATCTCATCCCAAGATGACCCTGTCCATTACAGTTAACCGTGAGTTGGTCAATGCAATACCATCTCATCCCAAGATGACCCTGTCCATTACAGTTAACCGTGAGTTGGTCAATTCAATACCATCTCATCCCAAGATGACCCTGTACATTACAGTTAACCCTGAGTTGGTCAATTCAATACCATCTCATCCCAAGATGACCCTGTACATGTCTGTTAACCCTGAGTTGATCAATCCAATACCATCTCATCCCAAGATGACCCTGTACATGTCTGTTAACCCTGAGTTGATCAATCCAATACCATCTCATCCCAAGATGACCCTGTACATGTCTGTTAACCCTGAGTTGGTCAATTCAATACCATCTCATCCCAAGATGACCCTGTACATGTCTGTTAACCCTGAGTTGGTCAATTCAATACCATCTCATCCCAAGATGACCCTGTACATGTCTGTTAACCCTGAGTTGCTCAATGCAATACCATCTCATCCCAAGATGACCCTGTCCATTACAGTTAACCGTGAGTTGGTCAATCCAATACCATCTCATCCCAAGATGACCCTGTACATTACAGTTAACCCTGAGTTGCTCAATCCAATACCATCTCATCCCAAGATGACCCTGTACATTACAGTTAACCCTGAGTTGCTCAATCCAATACCATCTCATCCCAAGATGACCCTGTACATGTCTGTTAACCCTGAGTTGGTCAATTCAATACCATCTCATCCCAAGATGACCCTGTACATGTCTGTTAACCCTGAGTTGATCAATCCAATACCATCTCATCCCAAGATGACCCTGTACATGTCTGTTAACCCTGAGTTGATCAATCCAATACCATCTCATCCCAAGATGACCCTGTACATGTCTGTTAACCCTGAGTTGGTCAATTCAATACCATCTCATCCCAAGATGACCCTGTACATGTCTGTTAACCCTGAGTTGCTCAATTCAATACCATCTCATCCCAAGATGACCCTGTACATTACAGTTAACCCTGAGTTGCTCAATCCAATACCATCTCATCCCAAGATGACCCTGTACATTACAGTTAACCCTGAGTTGCTCAATCCAATACCATCTCATCCCAAGATGACCCTGTACATTACAGTTAACCCTGAGTTGCTCAATCCAATACCATCTCATCCCAAGATGACCCTGTACATTACAGTTAACCCTGAGTTGCTCAATCCAATACCATCTCATCCCAAGATGACCCTGTACATGTCTGTTAACCCTGAGTTGATCAATCCAATACCATCTCATCCCAAGATGACCCTGTACATGTCTGTTAACCCTGAGTTGGTCAATTCAATACCATCTCATCCCAAGATGACCCTGTACATGTCTGTTAACCCTGAGTTGATCAATCCAATACCATCTCATCCCAAGATGACCCTGTACATGTCTGTTAACCCTGAGTTGGTCAATTCAATACCATCTCATCCCAAGATGACCCTGTACATGTCTGTTAACCCTGAGTTGATCAATCCAATACCATCTCATCCCAAGATGACCCTGTACATGTCTGTTAACCCTGAGTTGATCAATCCAATACCATCTCATCCCAAGATGACCCTGTACATGTCTGTTAACCCTGAGTTGGTCAATTCAATACCATCTCATCCCAAGATGACCCTGTACATGTCTGTTAACCCTGAGTTGGTCAATTCAATACCATCTCATCCCAAGATGACCCTGTACATGTCTGTTAACCCTGAGTTGCTCAATGCAATACCATCTCATCCCAAGATGACCCTGTCCATTACAGTTAACCGTGAGTTGGTCAATTCAATACCATCTCATCCCAAGATGACCCTGTACATTACAGTTAACCCTGAGTTGGTCAATTCAATACCATCTCATCCCAAGATGACCCTGTACATGTCTGTTAACCCTGAGTTGATCAATCCAATACCATCTCATCCCAAGATGACCCTGTACATGTCTGTTAACCCTGAGTTGATCAATCCAATACCATCTCATCCCAAGATGACCCTGTACATGTCTGTTAACCCTGAGTTGGTCAATTCAATACCATCTCATCCCAAGATGACCCTGTACATGTCTGTTAACCCTGAGTTGGTCAATTCAATGCCATCTCATCCCAAGATGACCCTGTACATGTCTGTTAACCCTGAGTTGCTCAATGCAATACCATCTCATCCCAAGATGACCCTGTCCATTACAGTTAACCGTGAGTTGGTCAATCCAATACCATCTCATCCCAAGATGACCCTGTACATTACAGTTAACCCTGAGTTGCTCAATCCAATACCATCTCATCCCAAGATGACCCTGTACATTACAGTTAACCCTGAGTTGCTCAATCCAATACCATCTCATCCCAAGATGACCCTTTACATTACTGTTAACCCTGAGTTGCTCAATCCAATACCATCTCATCCCAAGATGACCCTGTACATTACAGTTAACCCTGAGTTGCTCAATCCAATACCATCTCATCCCAAGATGACCCTGTACAATACTGTTAACCCTGAGTTGCTCAATCCAATACCATCTCATCCCAAGATGACCCTGTACATTACTGTTAACCCTGAGTTGCTCAATCCAATACCATCTCATCCCAAGATGACCCTGTACATTACAGTTAACCCTGAGTTGCTCAATCCAATACCATCTCATCCCA